CAAAGAAAACATTTCAGAAAGACTGGATTTTGTGATAATGACTGATATTATGCAATTGGCTGGAATGTGTCTGATAAAACTCAAATATTTTATTCTTCTTTATTTTTCTTCATGACTTAATCCCCTTTGGACAGGCACAGCAAGCTATACATTTCTTGCACATTTGCCTTCCCCCACACCAGCACACATAGATGTCTCGGGCAGAAAATATCATCTTGGAGATAAAACGTGGAAGATTGACTTATGGTTTCATGTTTCTTTTCATGCTTTTTCTTTTCAATGCTTGATTAGAAATGGGGAGACTTTGGTTGTGGGGGAAGGAGAATTCCTAAAAAATGGAGATCAGGGCCACTTTTGAAACCATGCAAAGTGAATGGGCAGCAAAGAAAATTGTGAAGCTTTGCTTGAAAAAAATGTCTTTATGTGCCTGACAAAGATAAAGGAGATCCTGGAAGGAAGACAGTAGGTTAATGCCACCCTTTACAGTTGGGAATGTGACAACACTCAGTACAACAGAGTGGCTAGTCATTTTTAAGCAGAAAAGTTGAACGATCCCATACGTGTTACAAATACAGCTATTTCTATAAAAAATGAGAAACTGTTATTGATGCTGCTGCTGTGTGCAATCAACTTATGAAATTCTCATGGAATTCAGACAGTCCCTAAGTGAATAATCTCTAGGAGTACACATTCTTTCTCTTATCTTTTTATAAGTTTGGCTTGTATTAGTTTTTACTATTGTAACTAAAATCTATATATATGAAAGTGAAATACCACTCGTTCATCATCACAAAATCTCCAGAACCGTAAAGCCTACAAACTTGAAATTTGGCACATATGTTTCTCTTGGCTTCTAGGTGCTCATTAAGAAAGGATTTTTCAAAATCACCATCAGAGCATTAGTATTTCATATATTATTATTAACACACTCTGATGCTAAGGAGTTCTACTCCCCCTCCCCACCTGAAAAGAAATCTGTTCCAAATGCAAAACACAGAGGAGAAGAGTTTCAGTTTCAGTTTTAATTTCACAGAAGCAACCAGCTTTAGTAGAGAACAGTTGAGCTAAGCCACACTCAGGCTCCTTGCTGTCTCCTTCTTGCTCACACAGCAAATATTGTTTCAGTTTCCATGTTTCAGTTTCCAAACAGCCCTCAACTCTCCCACACACTGACAGGATGCTAGCCAGATGAATACTGATGGATGCTGGTAGGCAGAGGCACAATCCCCCCCCCCTTATTTTCCTTCCCAAAAACTAAGCTCAATCATATAGTTTCATTGCGAAGCACGGTTATAGAGCTAGTTTTACATATAAGCAGCCTCTTCCCATGTATTGAAAGCCAAACCTTAAGCATGAAGGAGCTAGGAGAGCAACAATCACTAAACAAAATGAGTTTAGAATCTCATTATGCTAATTTCTATTGTGTGCTTGATCTCGACCTCAGAGAGAACCCTGTTTGGATTTCAAAAACGCCCATGAAAATATCTATTAGCACAAGTAGCTATAATGAGAACTAAGCAGGCATATGCTTCCCATTCCCTCCATAAATGCATTTTTCCCTTCTTGTTTTATTAGGTCAGCTCCCCCCTTCCCTCTCCCCTTGATTTGCTGAGGTCACATCTTCACTTGTCTAGACAGATGGTGAATGAAAGAAGGGCTTGGTGGATTCTCGGAGGAACGATGGAGTGCTTTCCCCTGCCCTTAGAGCTCTCTGGCCACTTTACCCCTCAACACAGCATCTCACAGCTGTAGTGAGCAAAATTTTTACAAATTGTATCCACAGTGAGTTTCTATGGCAACAGTATCTTAGAGCACACAAACAGGATTGGCAAGGGGATTCCTTCTCCTCCTCCTCCTTCCACCCAAGGAATAACAGCAACTGTAATAAAAAAAGATAGTGCAAGTCTAAGTTAGTTTGAGTAAACAAAAATAAATTGGTGGTTTTTTTTAATGTTCGTATGCTCCTTATTTTAAAAGAATAAGTGAAAAAGTGCAAAACTGTGAGGAGATACAGAGTTGGAGAAAGAAGTCAAATGACAGGGTTTGTAATGAAAAGGGATTTTGCAGGGGAGAGGGAATAGCCACTTATCCAGGTATTTGTCTAATCCAAGTTTTCCCCCTACTTAATATAGGAAAGAAACCTAGACTAGAAGACTGCTTCATTAAGTCACCATGGCCCACACAAAATAGTTTGTTTTAATTTATTTTTTCTTTAAATTAAATCTGTAGGGGGAAATTGTGTGGTTATTTAAGAGGTCCTTCCTGCGAGACTTCCTCTTTCTTCAGCTGGGCCTGGAGGAATTTCCATGCTGCTACAAGCAGGAGCCAGGAACGTCTTGTGGAAAAGGATCCTCCAGAGATTCATTTCCACTTCAGGTTCCTTCCTTGGATTTCTCAACACAAATGTTAGTCTGATTTGAACTTAATGCCAAACTATGGTTTATGTATGTATGTATAGGCCATAAACTCCCTCCATCCTTCCTGTCTTCTATTCTGATGTAAGAAAAGGTTTGAAAGCTTCTAAATCCATGTTTAGTTAGCTGTGGTTTCTTTTTATATACAGACACAGAGATAATCTTAATTTTGATCAGTGGTGGGATTCAAATTTTTTTACTACTGGTTCTGTGGGCATGGTGTGGTGGCCATGGCATGGCTTGGTAGGCGTGGCTTGATGGTTACTTGATGGTAGGGGAAGGTTACTGTAAAATCTCCATTCCCTCCGCACTCCTGGGTGAAGGTTACTGCAAAATCCCATTCCCTCCCCACCCCACTAACCTGTTTTCCAGCTTCATTCTCCTGTGCAGGGTAACAAAGAAGACCCAGCCAATCAGCTGGGACTTGGGAGGCAGAGAATAGATGGGGGTGGGGCCGGGCCAGTCAGAGATGATATTTGTTGGTTCTCCGAATTACTCAAAATTTCCACTACCGGTTCTTCAGAACTGGTCAGAACCTGCTCAATATCACCTCTAATTCTGATCCAGAAAAGAATTTTTAGCCACAGTTTGCAACCCTTATATTGTTGATTTACAATTCCTATCAGCAATCAAGGGCAATAGGACATACACATCTGGAAATGCATTTTTAGTTGTCCTAAACTATAAAAAGGATGCCTGTGATTTGTTTTGAGTTGAGACAAAACATCTAATCTGCATTTGTTTAAAAATAAAGCAAAATTTCCCATCTCCTCTTGCAACTCAAAGAAAACTGATAATCCCTGATTATCAGTCCCTTAAATGATCATTCTTAACCAGAAAGTGATGAAATATGTATTAAGATATCACAAGTTATGTTCCTTAGTAATTGTATTGTGACATGGCATGCAAGTACTTAAGAGGCTGAGTTTGCATTGTGATGTTGTTGTGCATATTTTGTGCCTTGTCTGCTCTCCCCATGGATGTCCATACACCAAACCATAGTTTTCTATTATGCCATGTAGCATGTTTTATTTATATATATTTATATATTTTATAAACACAGTATATATCGACAGAAAAGAGTAAACATAAAAATAATAAATGAATCATAAATTGTTGGCAAGGGATATTAAAAACATCCAAAAATTAGTTTTCCACTATACCATTAGTAAATTATCAATGACTGAATATCATGTATAGCTTTGAATGACTACAATCAATATTAAGCTTTAAACTAAGATAAATAATGAAAAGCGTGGTCAGTAAGATATAAATAATCAAAATATAAGCTACAATACATTAAGTCAGAATCTATTCTGCCATAAGTATACCATGAAATTGAAATATAAACTATATACATAAAATTACCAAAATTATGGATGAGTACAAATCCGAGTGTTAAGTTCTAGTCCAGAAATTGGTTCTATTTTTATTTAAATTCTGTGTTAAATTTACTTTTAAGGTGCAAAGTTATTTTGGACATCTAAGCATACTCCCTTAACTGAATTAACCATTCTTGCAAAGAATCAAGCACATTTCTACTAAGAAGCATCTCATAAATGCTTTATTAGCTTCCCATACTGTACAGTAGATCAGTGTTCCGCAACACTGGCAACTTTAAGATGTGTTGGCTTTAACTCCCAGAAATCTACAGCCAGTATACTGTATTCAATGTGTGTGCTCAAGGAGGGAGGGAGGAACAAGCAGAAAATGACAACAAAAATATAGTTGAGGTGTAAATTATTCTTGCAGACGTATTTTAATTGGACAAGTGAAATTGGGAAAACCCTTTTGTGTTTTGTGCATCTAAATTTAATGGTCGACTTTCCTTGTGTGGATAGGGCTGCAATCACTTTAAGTGGCCATGACAGGATGAGCAGAGATTTTTACTTCTGTTGAATGACTTACTCTTCCTCATGTATTCTTATGTATCTTCAGCTTTGCATTTTGTAGGATATACGGTTTAGAGCAGGAAGATGGGTTGTTGTAAAACAACAATACATGCTTCCCCATTAGTGAACAAACATAATTATTTTCTTATTTGTTCTTCATAACACTTCTGCCAAATAAGTGAAGAATAGATTTGTATTTTGTTAATTATTATACATTCCTCTAGCATTTTGGAAGACAAAGGTTCAATGTTCTGTTGCAGCCATACAGACAGTATCATGTTTTATGTCCTGGAAAACATAATCAGATACTTGCATGTTCATTTTATAGTCTGTCCCACAAGTTTCAATAAAGCTAATTTAGGTCCAAATCTTAATATGACCAATAATGAATGGTTATCAATAACTGGCTTCATTATATGCAATATTTTTCTTATTCCTTTCAAAACTATGTTCTATACAACTTCACAGCATCTTTTTTGGCTTGGGAAAGGAATAATAATAAGGATTTTTAAAAAGAAAAATGTTATAAATAATAACAAGTTCAAATCAGGATTTCTCTTGAGCCTCAGAATTTCTTCTTTTTGATTTTGGCATGCTAGAGCCTGATTTGTTTTTGATTATCATTTTTGAGAAAAGTTTTCAGTAACAGGGTTGAATAATTGATCTTCATCACTAATTATACTTCTCTCCACAGGTGTCTGGAAAGGGTCCAGATGACATTCCACACCACCTCCAGTTTGAAGGCATAGAAAGACAGTATGCTTCTTTACCCAGGTAAGCTGCATTTGCGTTTGTGTAAGACACAAGTGTGTCTGCACAAACGGTTTTTCACAGGCAATCAAGGAGTCTCTCTCTCCTCCCATTATTCCACTGTTTAGCAAAATCTGCACTGAACAGACATCTGGCAGTGAAATGAGAGATTATGTTGCAATTTTGTTATGCTGCCCTTCTGTTGATAATTTAGTGCCATCTTTATAGCTGTGTTAATAATTTAGACAGCCAATGGAAGAGGGGGGAGATGAAGTTTCAGTCACTGAACATGTCAGCAAGAATCATGATCTGTAGGGGAAGGTTGTGATGCTGAGGAAGCTTGTTCTGTGAGAATTTAGCCACTTTGAGATATCCTTTATGGAGGACGAGGGGGCTGCTGGGAGCAGTTGCAATCACAGTCCCACATCAATGGCTCTAGAGTTTCTGGAAATAAATTTCATTTTTTCACAGCCAAGACATTCATACTGTAGCTCCATACTTAGATAATTCATTAAATCTCCACTAATGGAATGGATTGCTATAACTTTCTAACTCTATAATTTCCAAGACAGCCAGTTTTGAGATTAAATTGTCAGGCTAGAATCTGGGAGACCATGAGTTCTATTCCTGCCTTAGGCAAGATATCAGCTAGGTGACCTTGGGCCAGTCACTTTCTCTCATCTTTTGGAAGGAGGCAAGAGCCTTCACTTCCTAAATCTTGCCAAGAAAAATGCAGGGATTTGTCCAGGCACCTGACTTGGAGTCACCTTCCCACCCCCAAAAATCCAAACTGGTTGTCCTCAAGATACTTTGGGACCACGGCTCTCAGTATTCCCAGCCAATACAATGTTGACATTAAATTAGTTGGGAATTCTGATAATCCTGATGTTTTTCAAAGAAGATGACTATTCTCAGAAAGTATGGGAAATATAATGCAAACATAGAGGGAATACCTTACACAAAGTTTGGATATTGGTATTTGCATCTGAGAAACAATAGTAACAGTTTTTCTTAATTCTCCCCTTACACTGTTATTCTTAACAATAATAAGCCACCAAGGAAAGGAAGTTCACCCCAGGCAGCATAAAGGAGAGCATTGTTCACTCAATCATTCTGAACAGTCCATAAAGTCCAAAGCAAATGTGCATAAATGAAAAGAGACAAATTGTGTTCAGCATTCATAAGCAACAGTATGCACCATTTTATTTATTTATTTTATTTATTTATTTATTTGATTTGCCAATTGTTTACAAGATAATAAGTATAAGTGTATACATAGTTGTGAATACATGAAATGGGTACATATAAGAAAAATAAAAGAGGAATAAGAGAAACAATAGGACAGGGACGGTAGGCATGTTGGTGCGCTTATGCACGCCCCCTACAGACCTCTTAGGAAAGGGGTGAGGTCAATAGTAGACAGTCTAAGGTTAAAGTTTTTGGGGTTTGGGGAAGAAACTACAGAGTCGGGTAGAGTATTCTAGACATTGACCACTCTATTGCTGAAGTCGTATTTCCTGCAATCAAGTTTGGTGCGGTTAACTTTGAGTTTGTATCTATTGTGTGCTCTTGTGTTGTTATGGTTGAAGCTGAAGTATTCATTGACAGGTAGGACATTGCAATGTATGATTTTATATACCATGCTTAAATCAGACCGAAGACGGCGTAATTCAAGGTTTTCTAGTTCTAGAATTTCAAGTCTGGTGGCATAAGGTATTCTACAACGAGTAGAGGAGTGGAGAACTCTTGTGAAATATTTCTGGACTTTCTCAATTGTGCTAATATCAGATACGTAATGTGGGTTCCAGACTGATGAACTGTATTCGAGTATTGGTCTAGCAAATGTTTTGTATGCTCTGGTTAGTAGTGTGATATTACCAGAGAAAAAGCTACGTAGGATTAGGTTAACAACTCTTAATGCCTTTTTGGCTATGTAGTTGCAGTGGGCTCTAGCACTTAGATCATTAGAGGTGAGTATTCCAAGGTCCTTTACAGAGCTTGGGTCATCAACAAGATCTTGACTATTCAGCTTGTATTTTATTTTCTGATTTTTTTTGCCAATATGTAAGACAGAGGATTTATTTGTTGAGATTTGAAGTTGCCATTTGTTTGACCATTCTGATACATAGTCAAGATCTTTTTGTAGGGTAGCAGTATTGTCTGTGGTATTGAACAGCTTTACATCATCAGCGAAAAGAACGCAATTGCTCTTAATATGATCACAGAGGTCATTTATGTAGAATATGAAGAGAGTTGGTCCTAGAACACTGCCTTGGGGGACACCACTATTGACAGGTACAGAATTTGATAGGACACTATTTTTTAAATTTTCTAAATTACATGTCGAAGTCATCCCAATAAACTGGCCCAGGGACAGTTGCTCAATTCTGTAGGTTCAGAAATGTCAGGCCTAATGTTACTTTGTTGTTAGTATTTATTGAAACATTCGTTTAATAGAATTATAACAAATAGTTAAATATAGAGCAGGCCTCATGAATCAATTATGTTCTCCTTTGCTAACTAAGATTATGCTTTCTTTGCCTTCGCGTCACTCAGCTCATGTCTGCTTTCATATTCCAATTCTTCTGAAGAGCTGAAACTCTGTTAATCTTGTTTCACAGAGACCTTGGAAACAAACAACAAATATTGTACTATAAGCAGTGTCCAATGAAAAGCCATCGTGCACACTTACATACACATTTATTTAATTAATCTATGGTCATAGTGTAAGCAGGTTTTTCTAATTTAGCCTCCTCTCTTGCTGTTGCTGTCCCCTGCTTCTCACACTAAATATGGCAGGAAAGATTTTTTTTAGCAATACAGAATAATTTTATTTGTAAATTACAAATAATATGACCATGACTTTACATGATCAAAGGTGAAAGTCAAAGTAGCATCGCACAATAAGTAGCAGTGTTAAAAAAAAAAAAAAAAGGAAACTGAGAATAAGGAAATGAAGATATTTTATATCTGCCTAACATACCAATGTACAATCCAGGAATATATAAGGTCAGAAGGAAGAAAAGGTAGCTTTCTAAGTCAATGCATCATTCTCAGCGATACTGAGGGATTTTATGTTCAAACAAAGTACCCCCCCAAGAGTCCAGCTGTCTTACAGATTTATGGTATTGCTTTGTACATATTTTCTTGCTATATATTCTCTCAGATTTTATCTACTGTTAAAACCTCAGAAGATTCTACCTGTATGGCAAATTAATTTCTTGGTTAAATTGTACTAATTATGGAATTATAATTAGTAAACGCTTTGATGGAAAAGAGGCATACCACTCTTGGTGATGTGAGAATTCTAACTGTCCCAAGGGTTCTGTCATGTCTCAAACCTTTTCTTTTAGATGAAAAGAACTGAAAAAATTATGGTAATTACTTTTGTTACTAATGTCATATTTTGTATGTTCTTTTGACAAACCTTTACCAGTTTCAAACTTCAGTAAACAATAATAAAGTGCCTCAAATTGGAATGCCAGTGTTCTCATGCAAAAATTACAATAGAGGTCTATAGTATTCAAGAAAATGTGGAAAGTTATCTACATATGGTTATCAGCATTCACTAGGGCAGCATCTAATTTGGTGAGGTGTGTGCTTATTAAATTAATGTCAATATCTGCCACATTTTAGACTTTCATTGGAACACACATCTCAAATAACATGGTTCTGCAGTTTACATTCCCCACCAAGGTAGGAAAGTTCCAAGGCATGAATGTTTCAGTCATATTTAGGGCTGGGCAACCTCTGGTCATGAGGTCATTGTGCCTTTGACCTAATTGAAAACAACCCTTCAGCTTACTTTTTTTTTAACTGCGTTTATTTTTTAAATAAATAACTCAAGACAGTGAGCAAACATAATACTCTTCTTCCTTCTAAATTCCCCACAATAACAACCTGTGAGGTAGAACACAGAACATAGAATAACAAGTTTGGATGGAACTTTGGAGGTGTTTTAGTCCAGCCTCCTGCTTGGACAGGAGACCTGTTACCATTATGGACATATGGTTGTCCAATCTCGCAATCAGTTTTGACACTCATGCCCCAGAGTGCCCACAATTTCTGGAGGCAAGCTGTTCCATGGATTAATTGTTCTCACTGTCAGGAAATTTCTCCTTAGTTCTAGGTTGGATCTCTCTTTAATATTTCACCCATTACAATCTTTCACCCAAGATGTTGAGACTTGGAAAAAGTTCAAAGAACTAAGATGATCAAAGGTCTGGAGACTAAACCACATGAAGAACGGCTGCAGATTTTGGGTTTGGCTAGTCTAAAGAAAAGAATTAGGGGTGACATGATAGCAGTATTTCAATATATGAGGGGCTGCCGCAAAGAAAAGGGGGTCAAATTATTCTCCAAAGTACCAAAACAATGGTTGGAAACTAATGTAAGAAGCAATCTGGAATTAAGGAGAAACTTCCTAAGTAATTGAGGACAACCAATGGAACAACTTGCCTTCAGAAATTGTGGGCACTTCAGCCCTGGAGGTTTTTAAGAAGAGACTTACTAGACAGTCACTTGTCTGAAATGGTATAGGTTCTACTGGTTGAGCAGGGGCTGCACTAGAAGACCTAGCTCTATTCTATTCTATTGGATTTTGGGATCTCTCCTAAGAGAGAATGTTTTCAGGCTTTAATGCTTTTTAAATATACTTTGATGTAGTTAAAAAAGCATTAGTTTATTTAAAGAGCATTTGGCATTCCATGGAGTTTCTTATATTCACATCTGTGATGAGGTTGGCTACAGTTCACAAATTTAGTATCAGGATAACTATATTTACTTTATTCATGTCTCATTTGTGTCCCAGCTGGTTAAAATGCAACTATCCATTAGATAGGCATATTCCACTGGTTTATTATTCATTGCAACTACTTTTTTAATTTATATTTTTATTGCACTTTTTCAAAATTACAAATCTCTTTTACATTCTTTACAACACTGTGACATTGATGTTACATGTACATTTACATGCATATATACATTTAATCCTTATTTTTACTATCTAACCAGCTATACCATTT